TTATCTCTCCTCGATCAGAAACTCTTATTACCATACCAGCTTCGACTATTAAAGAAGGCACCATGCTCTTAATTCCTTCTCAGTCAATTAACGAAAACCTCATAATTGGAAATGTCGTAACTCAGGTCCAAGGCAATCGCGTATTACTTTCTATTTTAAATCCGTCAGAACAACCCGAACATCTTCAGATACCAAATCTCGAAAGTCTTAATTACGAAGAATATCTAGAAGTATCTATAAATATTACGCAGTCACAATCCAAAAGTAACTTCGATGGAAGCAGAATTAGTCGACTTAAGCAAGCTCTTCGTACTGATCATCTGAACAATGAAGAACGAAATTCATTGGAAAGCATTTGCAGTCAGTTCTCCGACGTATTCCATTTAGAAGGGGATCCAATTACGCATACTACAGCGGTATATCACGAAATTAAAACACCTGATAATGTCCAGCCGATAATGGCTGGAACAAGCGGACGGAAAAAGCCCTATCGACTCCCTTACAAACACAAGAATGAGATTAATGAACAAATAGCACAACTCGAGGAACAGGGAGTTATAGCTGCTAGTGAATCTCCTTGGAATGCGCCATTATTAGTAGTACCAAAAAAACCAGACATATATGGCAATATCAAATATCGCGTCTGCGTTGATTTTCGAAAAATCAATCAGGTCTCTCAAGGAGATGCCTATCCTCTTCCTAACATCACTGATATCCTTGACCAGCTTGGTAAATCTCGCTATTACAGTACTCTTGATCTAGCAAATGGTTATTATCAAGTCCCTATGTCACCCGAACACCGCAAAAAAACCGCTTTTTCGACCGACAAAGGTCATTTTGAATTTACTCGTATGCCTTTTGGTTTGAAAGGTGCACCAAGCACATTCCAACGCCTGATGAACAAAGTTTTAATTGGCATAAATGGAGTAAAAGCTTTCGTTTACTTAGATGATATAATCATATATGCTAAAAATTTAGACGATCATTCTCAAAAGCTCACAGAAATCTTTGATAGACTTAAACAATATAATCTAAAATGATAACCTATTAAATGTGAATTTCTCCGCAAGGAAACTCAATACCTAGGTCATGTTATTACAGACCAAGGTGTTAAACCTCATCCAAGAAAAATAGAATGCGTTCAAAATTTTCCCGTAACTAAAAATATTAAGGAAGTTAAGTAATTTCTTGGATTATCCGGTTATTATCGACGATTTATTAAAAATTATGGGGAAATTGCAAAACTTTTGACAGCTCTCTTAAAAAAGGATGTCCCATTTACTTGGAGTGACCTTTGCAAAGAATCTTTTCAGACGTTAAAATGCGTATTAACACAAGCTCCAATTCTTCAATATCCTGACTTTGAGAAACCCTTTGTCCTCACTTGTGATGCTAGCAACTATGCCGTAGGTTGTATCTTGTCTCAAGGTCCTATAGGAAAGGATTNAGACCTACGGCATAGGTTGTATCTTGTCTCAAGGTCCTATAGGAAAGGATTTACCTATAGCATTCGCATCCAGAACATTAAATAAAGCAGAACAAAACTACAACACCACCGAAAAGGAACTAACAAGTTTTGTATGGGGTGTAAAACAGTTTCGCCTTTATCTTTTTGGTCAGAAATTCACAATTGTCACAGATCATCGTGCTCTTACGTGGTAATTTAACCTCAAAGATCCTGGGTCCCGGATAACCAGATGGAGATTAAAACTAGAAGAGTATCAATACACAGTACACTATAAAAAAGGATCACAAAATACCAACGCTGATGCTTTGAGTAGAATCCATCAGGTAACTACTCGTTCAACAAGTAAATCAGTAACCGGATCGACGAATTCAGAAAATCCAGAACATATACGAAATCCAGAATATTCCGAACACTCAATAACTCCAGAAAATTCAGAACATTCACTAACTCCAGAATATCCAAAATCATTTTCATTTTCCAATATTAATGAAACCATCACAGAATCTCCGTGTCAATACGTATTGAACAATATCAGCCATTATTCTAATCTTCCTAAAAATATAGTAGAAACCCATGGAAAGGTGTTGAATGCGCCCTCAGACTAACATTTGGCAAATTTTGTATCCAAAGATCTCAAGTTATCAAAAGGAATTGCTTTAGATTTTCGTCGACATTTTGGGCAATTATCTAGTCTGCGGAAACAAAACAAGAATGTTACTGAAATCGCTTTTCTCAAACAATCAAATAGATTTATCCTGTACATAATAATAAAAGAGAAGTTTTGGCAGAAACCAAAATACGAAATTATTTTCACTGCCCTACAAAATCTCCGAGAATTTTGTCATGTAAATCATTTAGATAAAATAGCTTTACCTAAAATAGATACTGGTCTAGATTGGTTAAATGTTCGATCTATCATAAACTATATCTTCAGAGACTCTAACATTCACATTCTTCTCTATTCTCTAGTTGAATACTCATCAGAACAAAAATCTCATATCATTCAAGAATTTCACCTAAATCCCTTAGGTGGTCATCAGGGTATATCACGAACTATCAATAGATTAAAGAAACAACACTCATGGATCGGTATGAATCATGACGTGGCTGAGTTTATAAAAAAATGTACATCATGTCAGAAAAACAAGACTACAAATCGTCATGTAAAAGCACCGATGGTAATTACTACTACCTCTTCAAAGCCCTTTGAGAAAGTTTTTATGGACGTAGTCGGTCCTCTTCCACGTACACCTCATAACAATGCCTAAATCCTAACTCTTCAAGATGATCTTACAAAATTTTCATGGGCTGTCCCTATGGAAAATCATGAAGCAATCACTGTTGCTTATCATTTTGTAACCAAATTCATATGCTTACATGGTATCCCTCAGAATCTCGTTACTGATTGTGGCACCGAATTTCTTAGTGATGTGTTTAAAGAAACATGTCGTCTACTGAAAATAAAAAAAACATCTACAACTCCCTATAGGCCGCAGAGCAATGGAAGTCTCGAGAGAAGTCACCGGACTTTAGGTGAGTATCTTCGACACTTCGTAGATAAAGATCAGCGAAACTGGGACACTTATGTTCCATTTGCTATGTTCACTTACAACTCAACAACTCATTCTGCCACGGGATACCAGCCCTACGAACTTTTATAGGGTTATGAAGCTCAAGTCCCAACATCATTTACCCGAGAACCGGAACCACAGTATAATTATACAGACTATCAATCCGAATTAAAAAGAAACATGCAAGAAGCTCATAATATTGCCAGAAAAATATTATTAGAAAAGAAGCAGAAATCTAAAACCTCCTATGACCAAACTCAATTCTTTCCCACACTTCATATTGGTGATAAAGTTTTAATTCAGGAAAAGGCTAACAAAGGAAAACTGGCTTTTAAATGGTTAGGTCCTTTTGAAATATTAGACACAAACGCTGATTCAGTAAATATAGTTATTAACAAAAATGGCAAACGTCAAACACTCCACAAGAACATGGCTAAACTCTTTCATGAATAATAATTAACAAATNACTAAACTCTTTCATCAATAATAATTAACAAATAATCATTAATGTTTGTTACAGAATGGTTACTCAATTCTCTCAATATTATGCAGAAAACCTAAAAGCGTTCATAAATATCACTGAGTTCAATCAAACGTCCGGTCTGTATTACGAATCCTATGGTCCCCTCAGAATCTCCCAGAGTACCTGGCAACTTATTTCCTACCTGGATTTAAAGAACTANTAACTTATTTCCTAACTGGGTTTAAAGAACTACCAGCAACGTCATTCTTTAATCTTAGGTTATTACAATCAAACCGTGCGTCACTGTCGGGACGCATCAGAAAATTCAAAAGATATAAAAATAGCTACAGTCTGTACCCAATTTGTTCAAATTACATTACCTTATTTAAATGAAATAGAATTCAATCATATTACTCTTTCATCTATGTTAAATCTGAAGGGGAATAGCAGTTCTCTTNACATAGTTACTCGTCAACCGCCACAGCGTACGCACGTGTGTTATCTCCATTTATTCATGTTCTGTGTTCCTTTACGTATTCAACAATTATTACCTCTTATCGCTATTTTTATATCAATTTCATACCATGGGTTTATGTGATATTTGTGCCGTAAGTATTAAACGCGGTCAAAACGACTCAATTACATGTTTCTCTTGTTTGAAATTGTACCATCTTACTTGTGTTTCGTTAAAACAAGATGATCTCGACTATTTAAATAGTTTGAACAAATCATGGTCTTGTGTTAACTGTGCAAAAAAATCTAAAAATGCTATTTCCGTCGGCAACTCTACTAAACATCTCTCTTCTCTCTCTACTAATGAACCTGACTTAAAATTAATTATCAGTCATCTCGATAACCTACGCGCGGAGCAAACCAAACTTATTGATCTGATCAATGAGCAAAATGAGAAACTTAACTCTTTTGACAAAAAATTCCAAGATATCTTCTCTCAATTATCAAGTGTTAAAAATGAAAACAGTGTGCTGCGTAATGATTTGACTGCTATCAAAAATCGTGTCGATCTATTGGAATCAGCTGTTCCAAAGTCTAATGCTAATCACGACATGTTTTTTGAGTTTATTGACCGTCAAAATCGTTCTAAAAATATTATCGTTTTTAACGTGCACGAACAATCTAGCCAGAACAATACCTCAGATACTGATTCAATAACACACATTTTCAATAAACTCGGAACTGATATAAAACCCATAAAAATTAGCCGCTTAGGTAAACCTAACAATAAGCCTCGTCCATTGAAAGTTGAACTGCAAGCGGCCACAGAGGTATTTAAAATTCTCGGTCTATCACGCATCCTGAAATCCGATCAAAATCTTAAAGATATTAGAATTACGAGTGATAAATCACCGTATCAGCGAGAACTCCTTCGCGATCTACGCAACCAGTTGAGAGAGCGAATATCAAAAGGCGAGCCAAATCTGACAATTAAATACTACAAGGGTCAACCGACCATTATCTCCTCTGCGGTTCAAAAAAACTAGTCACTAATTCAAGCCTACTACTCTACTATCAAAATATTAGGAGCATAGTTTCTAAAATTAACTATTTAATCCCCTCACTCAATACCTCTCTATTTGATCTTATTGCTTTTACTGAAACATGGCTTTCACCTGATATATGTAACACTGAATTACACTTTGTTAATTACATAATTTTCCGTTGTGATAGATCGCCTCTAAATAGTGATCGTTCTCATGGTGGAGGCGTCTTGATTGCAGTAAAAAATACAATTAAATGTAAAATTTTAAATACTTCTATTAATTGCATTGAAGCAGTTTTCGTGCATTTACAAATGGCTGATACAATTTTCATTATTGGCTGCGTTTATATACCCCCTTGTTCCCCATTAATAACGTACGAAAATGTTTTCTCCGCTTTAAGTAATCTATACTCAGCCTACCCATCTGCAAAATTTATAATATTAGGTGATTTTAATCTACCATCAATTCACTGGAATCATTTATCGCTCCCAATAAATTGCACTTCTCAAGTAGATTCTTATTTTGTAAATATGTTGTCTTATTTTAACTTTAATCAGTTTAACTATATTCTTAACAAAAATAATGTAATTTTAGATCTAGTCTTATCAAATGTTCACCTAAATGTCTCTACTGATCCCGACCCATTATTACCATTAGATATGCATCACCCTGCTCTTAATGTTACTATAGATTACAATCAATTTATCATACTTAAGCCAACAGATTATTTTTATGATTTTAAACATTGTAATTATATTGATATTGTAAAATTTTTAGCCGATAATTTACCTTGCAATGCTTCTATTAATTTTAATCTTAATGAAATAATTAACCATTTATATAATTGTTTAAACGAAGCAATTAATACCTTTGTACCGAAAAAGCGTGTTTCGTCAAACAGCTTTCCCCCTTGGTATTCTACTGAGTTAAAAATATTATTATCACAAAAAAAAATTGCTCATTCATTGTATAAAAAATTTAATGACCCATCTGATTATAACAGCTTTTCCCATTTGAGGGCTAAATGTAAGAGAACTGCTAAACTAGATTATAAAAAATTTATTAATAAAGTCCAATTATCTGTCAAATCAAACCCTAAGTCTTTCTGGAAATATGTTAATAGTCGTAGAAATAATAAGTCAATACCAAGTCTCCTTACGCTCGATACAACGTCAGCTGATAATGGGCAAGATATAGTTAACTTATTTGCTAAATTTTTCTTTAAAAACTACCCTAAGCCAGACAATCTATCCATTTCTGCTCCTTGTTTAAATAATTCCTTAAGTAGTTATAATTTATTTTCCTTTTCGTCTATATTGTTCACTGAGGTCGATGTTTTAAATGAGCTTACCACTCTCTCTATCAATTACAACGTTGGTCCTGATAGCATTCCAGCCTTTTTCCTCTACAATTGCAGATTTATACTTACACCAACTTTAACACATATTTTTAACTTATCGCTCCAAAATGGTATATTCCCCGACTTATGGAAAAACTCTTTTATTTACCCGGTTTTTAAAAAAGGCGATCCCACAATTGTCTCTAACTACCGGCCAATATCAAAAATATCAGTTATTCCTAAACTCTTTTCAAAACTTATTTTTAATAAAATAAATAAACATTGTTCTGCATTTTTATCTCAACATCAATATGGTTTTATATCTAAGCGATCAGCTAATTGTAACCTTGCTATTACTAAACAAATAATACTTGACTCTTTCGTTGCTCGTTCTCAAACCGATATAATTTACACTGATATGTCAAAAGCGTTTGATAGCGTTAACCATGAACTACTGTTTATGAAATTAAAACTGTTTGGGTTCTCTGACCCTCTACTTTCCTGGTTTCGCTCTTTTCTTTCCAACCGCATTATCGTTGTTAAACATCTGAATTTTGAATCCGATAAATTTAATGTACCATCCGGGGTCCCGCAAGGTGATCACCTGTCTACCCTACTTTTTAATATTTTCATAAACGACATTCCGGATGTCATAAAAAAATCCCGCATTTTTCTCTTCGCTGACGATCTTAAACTGGTAAAAATAATTAATAATCAAGACGATGCTGATGACTTACAAACCGATATTAATAACATTCAATACTGGTGCTCAGCCAACCGTCTGTTATTAAATACCGAGAAATGCAAATTTATGCGATTTAGCCTAAGCAAAAATATCATCGATTATAACTACTCTATTTCTAATTCTAATATTGAATTATTAACCACCTTTAAAGACCTAGGCGTCATCTTCGACTCAAAACTAAATTTTTCAGCCCATACTGAAATGATAATTAATAAGGCAATGCGCAACTTAGGATTTATCAAGCGAACTTGTGGATCATTCAGAGATCCTCTATCTCTAAAAGTTTTATTCTGTGCCCTAGTTCGCTCTAACCTAGAATACTGTCCATTAATTTGGACTAATAATACCTCTAAACAGATTGATGTAATCGAATCAGTTCAAAATAACTTCCTCCGTTTCATCTCCTTTAACTTTAATGTTTATAGGCCACCTCACGGTTCCTATGACTCAATATTATCATTCATTAATCTTTCTCCATTAAAAACTAGACGCACTTTATTACTATCGAAATTGTTACATAATTTGCTCTTAGGAAATATAGACTGTGAAGAACTCCTTTCCCTCATCCGTTTTAAAATAAACCATAATAATACAAGATTCAGTGATTTATTTTATCCCGTCCCTTTTAAAACAAATTATATGAAAAACTGT